AAAACATAAGAAAAAACTGCGCACATTCTAACCTTATTCTTGTGTGTGTGTGTTTTTTTAACAATTTTGTCATAGCCCGACATAGCGAAAAATCATTTAAATTTAAATTCTTACGAAAAGGAATATAAACATGGAGAGTGTACATTCCTATATTATAATTAAAATAATATAAGTAGTAAAAGATGTCAAGAGTGTATTTTAATTTTTAATCATCTATTCCCCCCACCCCAATGGATGCATTATTCGTAGGCTGAAATGACGTTGTGAATGGACTACTAAAATTGGCTCTTGTATGGATGATAATGATAGTTGTTTTAGTAAATAATTCTATTCATAAATTGGTAATCATACAATTCAATTTCCAAGCTTTTAAATAATGAAATTAACCACTTGAACAGTCTTAACAGTTAAAGAATACCCTCTTCATCTTGTTATAGGACAAAATCTTCAAGATTTTAATGTTTTTATTTATAATATATTTTACAAAATTTAGGCAATAAAAAATATTATTTTAAGAAAAAGCCCCTTTAAAAAGGTGCTTTTGATTAAGGATGTCAGTTTGTTTTTTCATATGTGTAAAGCAAGCAATTTTATGTTAAAAAAATAGTGGAAGGAGTGCTAATCACTCAAATAGAATCACATATTTAATAGCATAAAGGAGCAATTTTATTTTTATCTTATTTTAAGTGCATTTAACACCCTGATATTTTTAGCGAGGCAATTTTATCATAATTTTATTTTTTACAATTTTACGCATAATCTTTTGTTTTGATACAATTATATACGTATGTACTTTTGCTTATTTATACAAGATTTTGATTTGGTTTCTTAATTTATTAAAATACTACTTTCAACCCTAATTATAAGATGAAATGCATTATTATTTGAAAATATTATCTCAGTATTTAAAATTTGAATGTCGACATATTTTTAACTAATGAAACTAATGATGTTACGATGAAAAAATAAAAGAGATGCTTTATAAAACTAAGGAATTAAAATAAAATTTTACATAAAATTAAAGAACTACTCCCTCAGTTTCTTATTATAAAAGACATTTAATGCTTATGACATATTCCTTATATAAGAGACACTTAAAAGTTGTCTCTATTTTTTGTGTTGATTTTCTATTTTACTCATATTTATTGTCTCCAACTCACACTCTCTCCCCCTCTCACTTCTCTTTCTTTTAATAATTTAGTTGTTCTCTCTTATGCTCTCTCTCCTTATCAATGAGGGTATTTTTGAAAAGAAAATTATACTTTTTACACATTGATTATTCTTAACTAATTTTAACTGTTTTTTTATAACTTAATTCGATTATTCGTCTCTTATAATAAGAAATGGAGGAAGTAAAAAGTAAAGATATATTCTTGTTTTTCTGGCAAAAAAAGATAGTATATTCTTGTCTAAAAAAACAAAGAACAGAATAATAATATGATCAATCACTTTAAAGAAAACTAATTGTGGGGGATTAGCAAAGGTGCTTTTAACCGTTAACTTGCATCACTCTCGGGGAATTTGAGGGCCTCAAAGTCAACATTGCAATAATGCGTGAATATGAGCAGTGATGTCCACCTAATATTCAGCTATCATTATTTCGCTTTTTTTTTTTTGGCCAATAATTTAATGGGATTAATATAAATTTTTATCTCTTAAATTTGTTTTTATTTTAGTTTTAGTTTTTAAATTTTCAAACTATAAGTTTTGATTTCTTGAGATTTTTTATTTATAATAATAATCCGTATAATGCAATAAAAACTTAAATTATTTCCTTCTTTGAAATACCAAAACTTATGATTTGAAATTTGAAAGATTAAAATCAAAATAAGAACAAACTTAAAAAACCAAACATTATATTAATCCAATTTGCTTTCATCAGTTATCACCGTTCCGTTATAATCATTTTTCTTTCTTTGCTGTGGCAAAACATAATCATTGCTTTCATAAGTAGCAAGCAATATTAGAAAAAGCATAATCTTGCTCATCATCTTTTGATTTCGCTTGAGCACTCATAATTTCCCACTATTTATAGTCCCATGAATTTCAGGGAATCTTTCTTTCATCACGTCCCCACTGTTTTTTTAATCTTTATCTCAAGTTCTCTCATCGTCCATTATTAAATAACTTTGATAATTATGAAGTCACTCATATAGTCTTTATATTAATAGGCTTAAGAAATATATTTTGTTGATACTAATAAAAATTGGTTCACCTGATAAAGAGTTGACTCATAAAATCGTCATGTCAAATTTCACATTATCAATATGAGGATTTTGTTTGTGAATAAATACTTCTATAAGTGTTTTTTTTTAGCTTAGAAACATGTCCTAACTTTTATAAGTATTTGAACGTTGAAATCCGACTCACTTAAATTTTTTTTATTTCATATTTTGTATTAAAAATATAAGCCATCAGGTACTGCACAAAACTCGTACACATTACAGCCTCTAGACAATGTTACGGATTTTTATTTTACATTGATGATATTTTTTTTTGGATTACTCCATCCGGTATTCCAGGGAAATAGGCGTCTTTCAGACGTGACAACGTCTCCAGACTAATCCGGATTCGGGGGCTTGCAAGGATCTATACGGACGGCGCCCCCTGGTCCCTTGGAGTGCTGCGTTCCCACATCTCGAACCCGAGATCCGTGGTTAAGCTAGAACGACCCCAGCCAGTCGACCTAACCCCGCGGGGTTTACATTGATGATATTAATAATGCTATTAACTAACTAAGATTGGTTAATGAAGGCATCCTCCAACGTGGCCTTCACGTTATACCATCTCCTGTCCTTTTTAAGATTTTTCTTGATTCAAATGATTATAAGAGACACATATTTTAGATGTGTGATCACAACAGTAATTAGATAATTAAGGATCGGAATTTTTACAAAATCTCAATTTTTTACACACTAGCCCTGTTTTTAATGCATCCCAATCTCATCATTTCTTTTGCTCCCCAGCTCTATAATTATGACCCCGAAAAAAACAAGAGTACATCATAACTTCAATAAAAAATCAATATTTATATTATTGATCTTATTTTATTTTATATTGATGCTTCTATTATGAATTCATCCCCAAGCAATAAAATCTAACAAATCATCATATCCAAAATTAATTATCATGGAGTAATGATATAATTATTGACTATATGAACATTAATTACATACTACCTAATGCCCACGTGTAAATTTTAAAACTATCATGAAAAATTAGAAAAGATAAATAAAATTTTGAACCTTCCATATGAAACTTCAAATAATTTAAATCCATCATTTGAAAAAAAAAATTGTTTTTTTTAACAGTACCAGATGATTCTTCCTCAAATTCGATTCTGATTGTACTTCCTTTTTCCAATCTACTTTAAATTTTTACCTTTATTTATTTTAATCTGCAAGCATTTAAAATCAATGATGAATCATCAAAAGGACAAAAGGAAAATCAATCATAGACAGACACACCCTGTAGGATTTAACCGACACTACAGAACAAAAAACCAAGCATTCTTTTTTTTTTTCCTATTACATAATTTTTGAGGCACAGATAAAAGATAAAATAATGGTAATTAATAAAGGTGGTTGACATTGGCTGTATCATGGCACATTAATGTCTTCTGATAATGAGAAAGTGACGGGTTAAGATTATGACCATAATGATGAACAATATAAACAGACAGATCTGTTCATCATGGAGCGCTGTACAAATATTTTAGTAAATAGAAAGTTCATTGCATTTTATAAACACTTCATTATAACCTTGTTTAAATTCCTGAGATTTTTTGTGCATACATGTTCAACTCAGCATGATGCTTTATCTTATATCATAAACTGTCCATTTTAATTATTTTGTTGAGGTTTAACCCCCCCGTGTCCTCCTATATTAAATATTACTCCTTCGGTTCTTAATACATGGTTTAATTATTGAGTTGATTTTGGTTTTATTTCTCATATTTATCAATTTTTTCTAAACCATCCCTATGGATACTCCCTCAACCATAATCAAGTAGAAGAAGAATGGAGAATATTAAAAAAGATTATTATGGTATTTTAAGAAAAACATGTCATATTTCTTATAATTAACTAACTCACCTAACCTTTTTAATCTAATAAAATTAGTTAAATAGGTTTTATATTGAGAAGTATCAATTTACCATAACTGTCTTTTTTTTAAAAAAAAAATGAAGTGCCTAAAATGAAATTCATGGACCTCGTGACTTGGTTAAGAGAGGTTTATTTTATATCTGAAGAATGGGCTCTAATGGACATTATTGGGTCAGGCTCATTTAGATTGCGTCGCTGAGCCCAATTCCGTTCTTTTCAATCTGAGAGCCCAATTTGCGCTGACTATCACGTACTTCTGCTTGTTGTCCACAAGTATTCTTTCATTGGATTTTGTTTAAGTTATTATTGAACACTAAATGCGTCCACCTCTTTCAACAAGAACTCAAACCCATATATCACTTGAAGCCCAAGGTGGGAAATATGAGGTGATACTTTAGTATGTTGAGAATTCAAAACCTTTTAATCTAAATAAATAAATAAATCCCACGCATTTGCACAACATGAGATAAATCACATCACATTATTATTTATTAATTCTGATTTTGAATATCAACAACTTAGCGATGGCCCAAAAAAAAAAAAGAAATTTAGAGTTATGTTATAATTTTTTTTACCAGAAAGTTATGTTCTAATATTGGTGGCTCATAATTTTGTAGGAATATTTGGCGTTTGATATTAAGAAAGTATTGGTGTTAATTATTCATTTTTCTCGGGATCAAAATATTTAAACTAATTAAAACTTACTCTAGTTTTTTTTCCGACAAGTACTCAATGTAGCCAAATAATTCCTAGCCATCTGCTCATGTTAATCTGATTAGTGGAAGCCATGAAATTAAGCCAATCTAATTTGCCATTCAAAATATGCACTCCTCTTGTCCTAAACCTATTTTGTAGTGTAAATAAATCAGTACTCATCGGTAGGAACTCTCACACTTGAAATGCATAACTCTATATTTAGGAAAGATTTAAAGGAGATGTCTTGTATCATTGGACCAGAAGGCTCCCATTGAAATAATAGATTGCAATCAATTGTCCTATATGCGATTTGAATAAATACGAATGCATAATTAAGAAAAGAAAAGAAAAGAAAGGAAAATGGAAGGATAATCATAACATTTACATATTTGGGGGGGGGGGGGAATCAGGAGGACACAAACCACATGAAGTAGGTTGACCAAAGGGTAACAGCAACTGAGGCCAACGCATATGTCCATAGCATTATAACCGAACACTCACTCTCAGTCCCTCCGAACAACTGGGACATCGTACCTGCCAATGTTGACTTACAATAAGAACCAATCCATACAAATATTTCTAAATTATGTCGTTGATAATAATGTCTTCGAGAAAATATAACTACATCCATCTTTCGTGACTGAATTTACTGGTTTCAAAAGCAAAGTTACCTATATTCATGGCAGGTGGAAGTGCATACTGCAGCAGAAGCACAAACTGATATAGAGGATCTGAATTCACCAATCCAATTTTTATTGCCCCTTTAACTACCAGAGCCCCCATTATCGGCAGGAAAATATATCGAACTGCTATAATTCCCACGGTTGTTGACCACATAATAGATGTTCCTTTTAGGCCTGGTCCAATCACATGAACTTAGAAGAAGTTTTCCATAAACCAACACAAAGAAAAGATAGATATCTTAAAATTGAACCATATCAGAAACTTCATGGCTTGCTTTGCATTATAGTTTACCTCTGTAAAGGTTTGCCCCCAGAATAATGGTGACGGTTGGGATGGCTGCATCCCTGAATGCAATAGGACAAAGAAATGAAAGTGAGATATCTTCCATTGGATGATAGAATTAACTGTAACTTTGAAGCAATGAATGATCAGAGTTGTAACAGAGAAGTGGCAAGTTAAAATGCTGTAGGTTTTGCCTCATGAAATGTATAATCTATAGGGAAATAAAAGTACTAATTAAGAAAATAGTGATTAGCAGTACTGAGATGGATGATCAGTTAAGAACATTTTTGATTAAGGGTCATGTCCATCTAAAAACTTAAAGATGCAATCTTGTTGCATACCCCAGCATTGAAGCCGAGTTTTCAACCACGCGAAGTGGAGCATCACTTCCAACCAAGATATTACGAATCTGGGGAATTAAACCGATGACAAATCCAGCAATCTGTAATAAAAAGAAGATATATTTAACTGGATAATTGCAGAAAGAACTTTTAAAACAACATAAGAAGCTATTTTTCCATCCTCTCTAAACGAATATCATGCTTGTGAAAACAATATGGGAAATTCATCATATAACAATTACAGCCTAGAAGAAGATACCTCGTTCAATTCCCATCTGGAATCAATACTCTACTTTCAAAACTGGAAATTACCCCTCTCCTATCCATATTTCTAATAACTCAGCTAACAGAGCCACCCCCATTAGGCTATCACTTGTTCATGGCACACTCCCATAGTCCCATTCCTCTGGAAACAACCAATGAAGAGTTTAAGGTGGAATCTTACATTCAATGATAGTTGAGAGGGAATTTCTTCTTTTTTGATGTTGATGGGAGTACTTATGAATGGTTCAAAAAGCTATACATAAAGCTTATCGCCAAGGACAGACAGAAACAGGGGTGTCCACTCCAATATAACTATCGTGCATCGAAGATAAGTGACTACAAAAATTTTCAAGGCAATGGAAACTCTTTCATACCGCTGCAATGGTTGATGGTGCAAACATGGCCTTCCAATTGACGCTTCTTGAAATCTTGGTTAAGTGAGACTTAATTTTTTCTGAGATTGGTATCTGGATTGAAATTCCAACAAAATAAAAACGTAAATATAAATATAATTATGAGCTTTATAACTGCATATTTTTTCTATTGTGCTTTCAGTTTATTTTTGCACGTTGCCAGAGGCTTCTTGAGTATTGTGCCTTCAACATGCACTGGTTAAAGTGGGAAAAGAAACCAGAAGCATGGGTTTAATTTCTACTTGTAAAATTGATCTTTAAAAATAGGAATTTTTTATACTTATGGTATCTTAATGAATAATACTTTTGGTCCTAATTATAAGACCTCGTTTATAGGCTACAAACAAGGTCTTATAATTAGGATCGGAGATAGTATAAATCACTAACAAACAAAATTCCAGCCTTTTCTTGTTGACTTCTTTAAATATAATTGCTAGATTTAGTGTTTCTGCCCAGCGAACTATTCTTAAAGCATAAACTCTTCCCAATCAATGTGAAATATCTCAGTTTAAGAGAAGTTTGCAGCAACCTTCTTATTTTCTACAGATTCCGCATCAGGAAGCAGTAGAGTATATGCATCATCCATAGCATCTTTTGAAGGATCAAGCGTTTCTGAGCATTCATTTGGCAGTGATTCTGGATTTTCTCCTGAAGCTTTCAATTTGCTGATATCATCATCTGCATTACCTTCTCTGTGGAATTTACTTGCGGAATTCCTCATAATGTTGTACACATATGACCACAGAAAAACAGATCCAAGCTGATGTTCACCCAAATGAACCCCAGTCCAGACAACAAGAACAGTATCAACTAGCTGACTTAATTAAACCGCATATTCTATCAAAATTCACTATTTCAGAATTAAACCCCATAGAGCCAATGAAGCAGCATACCGCCATAGAAAGTGAAGCATAAGCCATCCCATACTTGTGGCAGACATCTGGATCACCAAAGGGACTGCCTTTCTCTTTGCAAATGGCTGGGATAATGACGATGGGCAAGTTTCCTAAATTTCCTGTTCATATAAACTCAGAGCATTTATTCAAAAGGCCTGCATGAAGCATTGAAGTTGATAAAATCTTAATCTTACATAAAACTAGTGAGACAGCACGAAACTGAAAATTTCATAAATCATTCACTTGTGTAATATACCAGATGCCTGTTATCAGAAACTGCAGACTCTGTGAAAGTACAATTATTGTACCATTTATTTCTTTGCAGAACAAGTGAATCCAAAGATACATATGGATATAAAATGTCTATCCGTACAAGTTTAGCATTTTTGTAGAACTACTTTTTCTGTTTTCAGAACAAGCTGAGCTACGTTAGAAAGGAAGCTTAATTTTAGACAGAGAACTATATTAAAAAAAAAAAACTATGAGGAATGTATGCATATGCCAAGGTTATACATGAGTTCTTTAGTCCATCTTTTCAAATGTTTAACTTGCTACGTGATGGCTCCAGAAACATACACATTTGCGTTATTTCTGATTGAAAGGAGGCTTATGAGTATCAATTCAAAATCTTCCAGGAGTTGAAACATGCAAGGATCACAGAGTCTTTTAGGGACTAAATGTCCATTTTTAAGATGCAGAGCATAATGAATGTGACATGCAAATTTTAGTCTACCTGCTGCACAGCAACCCATGATCAGGCCTTCCGAGTGTTTAGGAGGCCTTGTGAGTTTAATGAGCACCCAACCTAAGGCTGAGCCTATTAAAAATGTGGCCAGAACATTGACTGGCATGAACCACCTAAATGTCAGACACAAAATGTGACAAGCCATGAGTTAAAATGAGGAAAATCACTCCTCTCACAAGACGTAAATCTGAAATGATTACTTACAACGACGCAAAACTCTCCCAGGTAATAGTTTTTGCCAAATTGTCGCTCACCATTGCAGGATTGAACACATAAAACACCATCTATATCACACGGAGAACTCATGTCAGTACGGTCACACACCCACACAAATTTTCTGAAGCATTCAAGCCCTTACATGATTCACATGCTTCCGTGCAGTTTCTCCCAATATGTCTAACCGATCCAGTGCGAGTAATAAGCCTAGAACCGAAATCAGTAATACTTTGATCACAGGGACAGAGGCAACATAGAAAAGCTGCAGAAACCCCATAGTCACGATTCTTCCGAAAACAAATGCCAATATATCCTACACAAGGAAAAGGGACTTGTAAGTGTAACAACAAAACCAGAGACATAATCTTCTGCAGTTTTCTACTATAAGAGGACCTCAAGAGATGTGATTTTGCAGGGAGAACGCGTTCGATAGCGCAGCTTCTATAACATGCATACACACAACACTTGTTCTTAAACAAAATGAACATACGAATGGGAATGGAAGCTCAGTCGTTTAAACAGTGCTATTTAACAATGGTTTGTCAGGAGACAAGATGATGATAAATGATTAATTGATGGAGGGGGGGAAAAAAACAAGAGATGGGCAAACGGGACCATCTTCCTTACCTAAGAAGCTCTAGAGAAACCTGTGTGTCTTAAAGCAGAGGTGGCTGAAAAAGCCAAGGAGCAAGGACGAAAAATGAAAGAAAAGCCGGGGGAGAGAATAGAAAAAAGAAAGAAAATAAAGGTGAGTCCTTTTGAAGCTGCCTGGCGAGAAATTCTTAGGTGCACCGGGAGCACCAGCTCATTTGTACTCTATCCGATAAAAATACTCCAACTCAGATAATTTTAATCACGTGTCAGCCTATTCATTTCTATTAATTTAACCCATAAAGCTCACGTCGGTATGATGATTAGATGCCTCTTTTTTTTTATTAATTTTTTTTAAAATTATCTTTGTAGTAGTAACACATGTTAAAAGTTTTATTTAGCTAATATACCTGGTTAGTAAAAGTAAATTAAAAAAGACAGCATCAAATTATTACAAATAACAAATTTAACTAATTTTTTTAATATATTCAAATTAGACAACTAATTATTATATTGAGTACAGGTTAGCATGCAAGTTGAATTTAAAACGAGTTAAAACTTTATAAAGTTCTTTTCTTTTTTCCATCTTCTGGGAAAACAGGAGAAGCAAAATGCAAAACAAACACGAATTGGTTATTGGTCGATACGCGACAAAATGCCGCCACCATATCATAGTGCACAATCAAAGCAGAGCCTCAGAGTGACCTTATCGCGTGGTGCATGTGACTCAATTTGTGGCACCGAGCCGTCATCGTATGTGACCCACAATCGCAACAGGAATATGCGCAAGAACTCAAAAGTTGGGAATAAACTCATAAAGTTGGGTCGACGTCTTAATCAGAAACCACGATAGAATGGATCAGATTCATCCGTCTACCTTTCACGGACACAATACGATGCTTCCTTCCCCTTTCCATTTCCTTTTGTCGCTGCATGTCTCAGCCGCTGCCCATCTTCTTGCGTCTTGCCTCGTAGAGTTAAGTTTGTTTCACTCTGTTGAAATTTCAAAATCGAATCCAAAATGCAAACGAAGATGTAGGCGCAGCTGCGTTTCCGATACAAACGGGAATTGGACGAGCGATGGAACCGAGGAAAGGGGGGGCTTTTAACGAGTATTCCGGCCAACTTCCGTTTAAGTTCGGAAAAAAGAACTTAAATTGTTGCTCTCAATTTCGCCACAAATTCTAAAGGGAAATTCTAATTACAAGTTAACCTCATTTAGATAAGACAAAACAGAGCACATAATCAAACGTTGTTGGCTAACACGGCTCAACTTTCAATTGCGGACTACGGACACCTGAACACTGAATGGTGGCCAAAGATTTACGTACGCTTGAGACAAGCAGTGGATCAGATTTATATGGAGTTAAGTAATCCACGATTCTTCCATAAGTCCAAGTCCAAATACGACAATTAAATATATGAAGTGACTTGCCGATCCAAAAACAAGCAAGTCACAGATGTGGTGGGGCCGTGGGGCCAGTTGATTTGTTTGCAGACGAACCAGATACTATGAAGACCCTGCATGCACAATTGGCCAACAAGGAATCAAAACAGCAAAGAAAGATAGATAGAAAACTATAAATTATATAAAACAAAAAGAGTGAAACTGAAAGCACGCCGCTGAAGATAATCATATGACATGTGATATACATGCAAACAAAACTTGCGTCAATTTGGTTCCCAGTCCAACTATCCACTTGAATCTTAACATATGTTATCTTATTGAATTTTCCTCCATCCAAACATAATACTTGGTCCTTAATATAAAACCTATTTAACTAATTTGATTAGATTAAAAAAGTTAAGTTAGTTAATTATAAGAAATATGATATATTTTTTCTTAAACATCATAATCATCTTTTTTAATATTCTCATTCCCTCTTCTACTTGATTGTAGTTAAAGGAGTATCCATAAGAATAATTTAGAAAAAATTAATAAATATAAGGAATAAGTTTTATATTTATGATCAAAATCTATTTAATAATTATATTTTATATTAAGAATCGGATGAATAGTTTTTTTCCAAAAACATGTATATAAATTTGAGACAAAATGAATTCATATCATCTATCTAAAATTAAAGCAGACCCTTGTTTATTATGATTAAGCAAGTTGATGGGAAGCTCGTGACAAACACGTAATGCAAGGATATTTACAATATAGGCCTATGCAGATATTCATTGAATTCGAACCTCACCAGCTATTCTTATATTTTGTATTAAAAGGTGTTTGGAAACATCCAAAAAGTCTTTTATATTTTTTTATAAAACGAAACAAACTCTTTTACATATTTATTTCGTATACTGTAAAAATATTTTTAAAATCATGATTTTGATTCCATCCAAATACTTCCTAAACAAAAAAGATTTTTGAACCCGTAAATAAATAAATAAATAAATAAATAAAAGGAAGATTAATCGAGCTGCTAATAGATCGGGGGTTGGATGTTCTGCATGCTGGCGCCTAGTTGATCCTATAGGAACTAGCAAAGACTTGTTGAATCGGAGTAGGACGAAGGGTAAGAATGTACTTTGCATTTATATAACTTTTGCCTGGAATATTGTATGTGTATTAGAGGACTGCCGGCCCCTCTGTTCCCCTTTCCATTTCCTAAAGGCACCGAGTGGCAATGATAGCCTCAGTTCAATTTATGCGATGATTTATAATCATTTCATCTTTTTATAGGTATAGGGTAATTTTTTGTTCTTTTTTGCCTGGTATAGGTATAGGGTAATTTATGCTTACCACTTGCCTTAAGGGACCTTTATTAGACATGTAATGATGACGCCGAACAATACCATAAGTACCTATTTGGGAGGTCTGAAGAAAAGACACTTCCATATTTTACAAAACAATATTTTTTTTAGAAGAATTACAATTAAATCCCGTTGAAAGGAATTAAATACAAAAAAATCTCTTAAAATCATAAAATTATTTTGAAGTCTTAAAGAATCTTTTTACAATAAATTTTATTTGTACAATTAAGAAATCACCCTCTTTTTTAAAAAAAAATTTATATTGACAGCTGATAAAACAGTGGTTGACACCCTGGGGGTGTCAACTACTGTTCTTTCAGTTGTCAATACAAACTTAAAAAAAAGAGTAATTTGATAATTAAATAAATAAAATTTATTACAAAAAAGTTTCTTGAGACTTTAAAATAATTTTATGATTTTAAAGGAATTTTTTTATATTTAATTTCTTTACGTGAGACTTAATTAAAAATTTTTCATATTTTTTGCACATGTTTATTGTCCGTATAGGGCAAAAATGGTTTTTAACATCGGATCTCGAGGCCGAAAAAACATCGAATCTGGAGGCCCATATATCAAGAAAGGATTCTGCCGTGAGCTTAATAACTTTTCAAACGCCCGTTTTAGAAGACGTGGATCAAAACTTGATCCGAGTGAACGTGTTAAACTAATAAGGTTGTGTTTAGGCTAGCAGTAGTAAAATTGACTTGTATTCTAATTGACTTTTATAAACTGAAATTAAAGTAAAAATCAATTAGTGTAATGTGATTTATATTTAGATAAGTGTTTATAAAAAGTCAGTTGAAAAAATTAAAAGTTATTTGGATGATTAATAGAAAAGTGAGTTTAGTTTTAAAATAACTAAAAAAACATGAATTTTATTAAATAATAGTATTTGATATTTTATGTTTTTAATGTGATAATAGTTTAAAAAATGTCTAAAATTATTGTGATAAAATTATCTAGTTGGATTGTATGCTTTGTATTTGATATCTAATTGAGTCATAAATACAATGTATTTTGTTTAACTTCAAATATATATGCTTAGATATGAAATGGGCATAAAGTTTATTTTTTTGTTACAAAAGAGGGAGTAGCCCAAAATCAAAGAAAAACTAACTCATGGGAGAAGACCAGCTAGGAGAAGACGCAATGGCAGAGAGAAAATGGGAGATGTTCGGCTTGAGGGAGAAAAGTAAAGAAAAAGAGAGGGAAGAGTGAGGATGAAGGGCATATCTACTAGGAACATTTTTAAATGAGCATTAAATGCTATTTTAACGGTAAATAAGCTTTTTAACGCACCCAACATTATTATTGGGAACATCTCAACGTATTTGTAGTTTTTTCCAAAAGTTGGTTACATTTTAAGGCCATCCAAACAACCCATTTACTTTAAAAAAAACTCCAAACCGCCGTTTCACATGTTTCTAAGCACTTTTCCTCCTTCAAACGATGATTCAAATGTATCCTAGATAACGCGATTGGTTAGAATTTTCAAATTTAGAGGGTATTTGGATAGAAACCAAATCATAGTTTCAGAAGTGCTTTTACAGTTTATGAAGTAAATATATTGAGGAATTTACCTCGTTTTACGAAAAAGTGCTTCTGAAACCATAGTTTGGAGGTTGTCAAACACTCCCTTGATATTAATATTGGTACTCATTATCATCCCAGAGCCTTTGTTCTTATATATAGAGTTCTGCTCTATTCATGGGATTTTTTTTCTTTTGGGTACAAGAGGGGGCTAAGCTATTCATAGGATTTTATTAATCGGTGAACCAAACTTTATATACCTCCTTTGTAAATTCCACCAAGTCGTATGTACAACCCATCATCAAGTCCCTGCGGCACCCCGTTCGGGCGGACTGGAGAGAGAAAAATGGAAGAGGCTCTAATTTTTGGTGGAAGAGAATGAAAGACGGCCTTTAATCTTCAGTTAGCTATTGATTTTGAGCAGAACTCAGACATCCTCAAATGTATGAATTTGACTCTTAAAAAATAAAAATAAGGTCTCTTTTTGTCTTATCTTCCGGCCCAGATTTCAGATTCTGGCTTAGCTTTGTCTTACCTTCCGGCTTAGTTTTCAGATCCTGGCTTAGCGATTAGCTTTAAGCTATGCTCTGCAGGTCCCATAAACAGAGTTTAACATTGGACTTTTCTTTTTTTGGTGACAAGTTTAACATTGGACTTTGCTAACACCGTTTCTCTATTTGCACCGTAATGATTCTTTTGCTGCGGTATTCTGCTCATCAAAAATAAATATTAGAAATATTTTAGAAAATTTTCAGCCTAAACATGCATTTGAAATATCCTTGAGGCTTGAACATTAAGCTCACTTTTCCGTTCATCCAGCCTTTTACCAATCTGGAAGCGACTAGCCGTGAAATCTACATGTAGGCTACAATAAATCAAATCAACACAAACGTGCTGCTATGATAATTTCCTGGCCGCAATTTGACTTGTATTGAGAACACACAGCAATAGGAGGAAGCAGTTATGCCAAAATGAAAGCAAATATTTTTGTATCATCACAAATCTGGAGATCAAGTACAACAATCAATGATAAATCAATGCCATAGGCCCAATAAATCATATTACACATTCCACGGAGGGGATCCGCATTGTGCTTCGTTGCGTCCACAATATTCATCATGGAGTTACAGCAGAAAAGTTATTTGCCTATCTGAAAATATCATGCAAGTTTATGATACTTTGCAGTCAGATAATGAATGCCAACATACATGGGAAGTTTCTAATTTGGCTCAGGAAGGCCTTTCTTCATTCTTCTAATAATCACACATTACTTCTAATTAAGCGTCTTTTGAGCTCTGGGAGGACCCTAGATAGTCATGGAGCCTTATCCTCCTGAAACCCGACTTCCTGCAGGTAGTGTTCGGCATCCAAAGCTGCCATGCACCCTGCACCGATAACATAATTTTCATTATCCTTGGGACAGAAATGCTTTTGATGCGTATACCTTCCTCTGATAATCAATATACATCGTTATGCGGAAATGCAGAGGCCAATGATAACCGTCAAAGACACAGACAGCACAATCAGTCGTAATAATATAGTCTAAATTAGTTCCGGTGGAAGAGATTGAAATTTCATGGCTGAGTGATTTGAAAATGCACTGCTCTTTTCAAACTGCGACTTAATGTCCAAACACACAATTCCAGGTTGCAACAACAGAATCGCAAAGCTGAAATATTCAATGTATCTATCCTCGTTTTAAGTGTAGAAGGTTATTGAAGTTTAGGTCACCGGGCATATCAACAGTGGGAATCAATAGTTACTTTTTACCAAGCCCACATCCTCTGGCGAACAATTGTTAGATATGGTCTACACACTAGCGATCATTTCGATATTGCATATCAAGAATAGTAAAACAAACCTATAAAGCATTAAAAAGGTACAATATTTTCACCGGAAAAAAAAGGGTACAATATTAACCTCCTTCACAAAAGATATTGTTATCAATCAATACCATCCCAATCCTCAAACATACAGTCTCATTAAATCATTGCACATTTCTGCGAGTGTCAGATTACCACACTAGATCATGTGAGAAGAATAACCAAATGGTTGCACAAAGAATATTCGTCAGTCCAGACAATCGCCTCTGGTAAACATAACTAATGGCGCAGGATAAAGGAGATGTCACTTGTTTCCTCTTTCACGCAGAATAGATATTACTATATTAGACTAGCACACGTTTAGACAAACAAATTAAGAGGTAATTTCAAGAACAGGTCTAGAATCCGGATCATAATACGCATTTAAAAAGGATGTCCACTTGAGAACAAACACATTCCCAGACAAACGGAACAACAAATAGTCACACTCACAGGAGGTAAGATCAATATCTGGAAGGAGGATGTCATCTTTCCATATCAACCTAGAAACCTCTCTCCGAACACCCCCCATCCACCCCCCCTCCCCAGCCCCTCAAGGACGGGTAGAAAACTGACAATTTCTTCCTATAAAGAACTTCATACCAGCATTCATACGCAATAAATTCTCATGAACATATCGGGAAATTTGGGGTTTCAAATATGTTACATAATTCCAATAACAGTCACCTACTCACCTTTGATGAATGCATCATTACCATATAAGTAATTCACAACAGCTTATGAGGAAGAAAAAATTCCTAAAAATAACCAAAACATATATAAGAATTACCAGAGCCTGCGGCTGTAACAGCTTGCCTATACTTCTTGTCCTGGACATCCCCAGCAGCAAAAACTCCCTCGACACTGGTCTTTGTGGTCCCTGGCTTAGTCACAACGTAGCCATCAGAATCGAGTTCAAGCTGGCCATCCAAGAATTTCGTAGCAGGCTCGTGTCCAATAGCAAAGAACAATCCGGAAACATTCAAATCCGACACATTGCCAGTTGCTACATTCTTTATCTTGAGCCCCTTCAAAGATTTATCCCCATATGCTTCCACGACGGTTGAGTTCCATATCACTTCAATCTTAGGATTACTCAACGCTTTGCTCTGCATAATCTTGGAAGCTCTAAATACATCCCTCCTGTGAATGATATAAACTTTAGAACCATACTTAGTCAAGAAGGTGGCTTCTTCCATAGCCGAATCCCCGCCACCAATTACCGCCAGAGGTTTGCCCCTGAAAATGGGGGCAGCACCGTCGCAAACTGCGCAGGCCGAAATGCCCCGATTCCAGTACCCAGTGGGACCATCGCCAGAGCCAGGAAACGACAATCGCTTGGCCACGGCCCCGGTGGCGACGACAACCGATTCGGCTTCCACGGTTTTGGAATCGGTGAAAACCTTAAATGGTCTGCGTGAGAAATCTACCTTCGACACAGTCTCAGTGAAGATCTCGGTGCCGAATCGCTCTGACTGTTTCCGGCAACGATCCATGAGCTCGTGGCCCATAATACCATCAGGAAATCCGGGGAAATTCTCGACGTCCGTGGTAGTAGTGAGTTGACCACCGGGGGCAATGTCGTTGGCCATCCAACCTTCGAACATGATAGGCTTTAACTCGGCACGAGCAGCATAAATGGCAGCTGTATGCGCAGCAGGCCCACTTCCGATGATGCAAAGCTTGGTTTTGAGAATCTTGAGATCATCCATGGCGGCAAGCTTCGCTGAAGAAGAAGAAGAGAAAGAGGTTGCGAGTCCGAGACCGACGAGGCTACAAGCTTTGGTAAAGAGCTTCTTCCAAGGTCTAGGGTACGGGCGCATATTTTAACTGACTTTCTCTCCGCGTCCCTGCGAACCGCGGGTTTTAACTTTTTTTCGATGGTCAAAGGCGCGAAATTGGAATACAAAAGAACCACGTTTCGTTTTAAGCGGCAACTAAGGATTTCACATTGCACCATATTGCATACGACTTAATTCTTTTCACCAAAAAGTTAGCTATTTGGTTCCTTTAATTGAAGAAAATCGTAAGGAGTGAGAATGTGGTATTGTTATCTGGCTTTCGCTGTGAAAGAAAAAAAATCTTTTTCCAATCAAGCCTGCCATATATTTAACCAGAAGAGCATCGGCTGTTTTCAGGAAAATGACTTGGAATAAAAATAAGTTTTGCAAGTTGAAAATTTTAAATATTTTATATCAATCTTTTTAATTCAGCACTATATTATTTTCATTATTTTTCACAATTATTCTGTGTATGCCTAAAAACTTGGTAAGAAATATTTACGCATGTTAAGTGTTTTGGATAGTAAAAACAGAATATTGGCCTCATTTAATATCATTTTTAAAATTATTTATTAGCACGTTTTACGTGAGTTAAAACAAAACTCTTCTTATATGTTTATTTCATATTTTGTAAATCATGATTAAAAAATCATTTATAAATCAATGAACCCATCACTAGTACTTGTCTCCATGGAGGGGGACAAATTGGGTTTGTCACCAGAATATAATTGCAATGTGTGATCTGTCTCCCGTGTCCAAATTATATTCTTTTCTTTGTTTTCTCTATAATTCTTATTCTTTTCTTTGCTTTTATATATTTGTTATTCTTACATGTCTTTTTAGTTAGTTAGGTCATTCAATATTCCCGTGCTCCCCCTCTTCGAATTCAAGCAACGAACAAAGTGGTTTTCCTTTTTCCCCACGTGCTTTCAATTCAAGTTAAATTTTTAAAAAGAAATAAATTGCTAATTATTTGGAGAAACGAAAGACAAATGCACCAATGAATATTAGAAATAATAAGGTTACGAGTACAGCACCAATTATTAATATACTCATCCGGTTCTTAATACAGGACCCAATTGTTGAGTTACTTTTGATCATAAATATCAGATATTTCTTATATTTATCAATTTTTTTCTAAATTACCCTTATAAATACTCCCTCAACCATAATCAAATGAAAAAAAAGGAGAGGGAATATTAAGAAAGATGATTATGGTGTTTTAGGAAAAATGTCACATTTTTTATAATTAACTAACTTACCTAACTTGTTTAATCTAATCAAATTAGTTAAATAAATCTTATATTAAGGATTGAAGGAGTATGATGTTTTCAGAGAGAATTTAATCCTTGTAGATTTTTTTTTGGGGGGGATAGAATAAATTTTTCTAATATATGATGTTGTTATCCAAAGAAGTTAAAAAAAAAAACAGTTTTTTGGGCCAAGGCCCAGCTAGAAAAAGCCCACATGGAACGATGAAAGAAAAGAGGTTAAGACCCGGTGGTGGGCAACCTAAAAAAACATGTCGGAAAAATAAATGGGGAACAAAAGCTATCAACGAGAGGGCCCAACCGATCACTTCAGGCAATCAAGCCCGCAACGGGGATGGACTTATGATAGAAGTTTGGTTCACATTACTTAAATAGACTTCATTAATATAAAAACTAATTAATTAATTTAAATAAACTAAAAAATTTAGTTAAATTAGTTATTTACAATAAACAGGTGTTATCTTTTCTAAAATATTCTTGGTAATCATGTCTATCAGTTAAAATTATCATTTAATGAAACATTTAACATGTATAACTATTACAATAACTACTTTAAAAAAATTAATAAATATAAAAGATAAAGTATATTGATATCTTATATTTAAGACTAAATTAAATATTAAACTATCTTTTATATTAAGGAGAGGTAGTAATAAAAGTCAAACCTGTTTATATAGCATAAAAGCAACTTCACTGTACAATGAATGAAATCTTTTGGCGTGTTTAATGGCATACACATGTAGAATCATATATTTAATTCATTAAATTCAAAGGAAATTTTATTTGAGATGATGCAGAGTTATATCTTTTCATATATTCTGAAAGATTGTTCTAAACTTTCAATAGACTCCTTTGGATCCTAAATATACGAGTTAGTTGAGGAGCTTATCTTGATTTCAAATCCGATACCTCAATCTATTTTGTCTAACAAATTTATAACTTTTTTTCTTAAACCATTTTTATTGTCTGCGTATATTAAGAAGGTTTTTCACTAAGAAAATAATATCCAATACAAATAATTAAAAGATATTTTAGAAAAATTAACATATTATTTTACAAATAACATAACTAGTGATAATAATCTTTGTAAATTAGTTATTTCGATCTTATACTTGGACAATAAAAAGCACAAGATAATTTACAAATTTTTTTTGTAGTAATTTGTTTTTGATTTACTAATTCAAAAAAGACTAGGGCGACCTTAGAAGCATTAATCGAGGCATAAGTAGTGAACAAAACAAGAAGAGTAAAACAAAAACAATTACCTCAAAAAATTTGTAAATTATCTTGTACAACTTCTAGACAATTAGTGTGAAAGGTAAAAGTTGGTAAATGACACTGATTTCACATCGGAGTTGTTAACATTGGGTTTTGTGATTTATTAGCTGAAAAGCAAAGCATTAGTGGAGGCCTAATCAGCGGGAAACAATGATTATGGGAATATTATTATCATTATTATTTCCCCCTTTTAATTAAATTACAATAATATATATGCTCTGGAATGAAAATCATGTGTATCCAGTACGCATATGTGTGAAACATTATAAAATATATAAAATTCTGCGAAATGATTGCATTCTCCTCCCAATTCCCATCAAAATGTCAACAATAATTTCCCCTTTAGACCTAGCTTTACGTTTTAGTTTAGTCAAAAATCAACGGTGTTAGGTGGTAATCTCTACTTTATTATTCTTCATTTCTATGCCAGCTCAGCACCATCCAGTTATTGCCACTTGTCATTACATATGGCCCAGATAAATTATAATTTTTACAACCATATTGATCTATATGGAATTATATATGTATAAAAAAAATGTGATGACATATAAGCAAAAATAAATTATTTCATCTCCTGCAGTATAGAGAATGACTCATTCCCAATGCAAAACTTGAGTCTTATTCAGTGTCGGTAAGGAAAATTATGTTTTGCGTAAAAAAAACTAAGTAACATATTATATTTAGTCATCATGATTTATTATTTTTCTTTTAAGAGTACAAGTATCCTTTTTAATTATACTTTATTCGTTGTCTATTTCATTTCGTCATCTAGTACAAATCAGGTCTTAAACCGTACTGTGCGTAAAAAATTTAAATGGTAAGATAGACACTATTCTTATCTTGAGCATTATTTTTAGTCTAAAAATGTGAATGTGAAAAGAACGGAAAAATTATATAATAAATAAATAAGAGAGAGAGAGACCTTAGACTTAGAGCCAAAATTTATGACCTTCGACCAAATTTCCCAACCTAATTTTTATATTACAGAGAATCATGAGCATTAGCAATAATGCAAAACTTTGATGAAATTATACACACCCAGAAAAAGAAAAAGAAAAAAGAAATTAAGATTACTATATCCTCAGTTTTTTTCTTCTCAAAGGCAAATTAAAACTAAATCTTCAGAATTTAATTCATGGTAAATACCCCACATGAAGTATCTCTCTCTGAAAAGAAGAAACGGTTCATGAGTTTGAATCTTGAACGTGAATATCCGTGTCTTGATGTTGAATTTGGTCCATGGAAATAGACGTTCGTTTGATGAACTCCAAGCAGTCAGCAATGGCTTCCGTGTAGAAAGACGAATTTGACCTCGCGTAGAAAACTCGACTCTTGTTGATCCGTTCTTGTTCCTCCCTCGCCGTCAAACCTTTTCTGTAGTAGCTTCTCCTTGATGTGATGAAGCCAGTTTTCCTGAGAAAAACTCGCTTCAGAAGACGAAGAGCCTGAGAGTAAGAGAGCCTGCACCTATGAAAGAGGGTGAAGAAGAATCTGAGCCTCTTGCGTAGCCTGAGAACGTAGAACTTTCTAGGGTTTAGCTTGAAGCCTCTGGGGCAAGAAGAAGAAGAAGAAGAAGAAGACGACGAGGACGATCCTGATCTGCCGCTGCCTACTCTGTTGTAGCTCATAAGACCCATGATTTCTGGGGAATGATCAGGATGAAGCTCTGGCAAGCTCTTGGTCCTGTTCGTACAAATATAAGAGATCGTAGAAAGAAGAAGAAGAATCGGAGAGATTCCTGGGTTTGGACTGGTTTCAGAAATTGGCCGCTGTGTTGTGGAGGAAAGACAAGGCCTTTGGGGCGTCTTATATTCTATATAGTGCCGGGACTAAACTTGAAAAACTTGGAACTTGTGTTTGTATGCGCGTATATATAGAGAGAGAATGGACAGGTTAGAGAATCTAGCTCATTCATCATTGACATTATTTTTAATTTTTGGGAGGTTAAATTGTATAGATTTTATGTTTGTTTTTATTAGAATTATACATACTGTATATCCTTTCTTTGCTTTTAGAATTAATGCAGAGATTCTTTATCTTTTGTAGAAATTTCACAAATCCCTTTCATTTTAAAAATTCGCAGAAACGATGAGGAATAAATTATAAAAACTTCTCTGAGTTTTGTTTGAAGTTATTAGAAAAATTATTTTAAAAATACACAAAAGGCTTCTTTAAAATAAGTCCACGTCAACGAAAGTTGAGTCTAGACTAATTTTCACGGCATGATGAACAAAACGTCTCGGTCTTTCCTAAAATTTAAAAACATGTCCAAATTTGGGGGGGGGGGGATGAATGATATAATTCCGATCCATAAAAATAATTGTAATTTTGGAGTTATTTTTTCACATAATTCTTTTTCATAGCTAGCATATCAAAGTGTTAGTCGTAATTGAGGGGATTAGTTGTGGTAGGGCCAAAGAGCGCCATCCAAGGGAGACAGAAAAACAAAAGGGATGGATGCTTTTCCAAAGTAGGTGACTAAAGCAGCACAGGAATGTTGATAATTAG